ATAATAATAATAATAAAAAAAAATTGAGTTAAGCCGAAAAATAAATCGGCTTCGATCTCTGCTAAAAAGTTCTTAAGTTAAAATTTAACGTTAAAAAAATTTAAAATTAATATAGAAAAAATTTTAAAAAAATATATTTTTTGAAAAGTTACGTAACAAAATTTAGACCCCCCCCCCCCTCCCCCTGTAACAAACCGTAACAAAATCTTAGACCCCCCCTCCCCCCCTAGTGCGTTACGTAATAAGTGAACGAACCCTTAACTCATTTGCATCATGGACATGAAGATGGACGGACGATGATAAACGAGGGAAATTTACGGAGATTAATCAACTGCACGCACATTTATTTTTATTTAATTCTCAGCGCATTTATTTTAAATTGAATGTTGGGAGGCTTGAGGCGTTTTGGATTTACTGACAACTTCAATCTATTTGAATAAAGTCGAAAATGATTGAATAAGTTCGAAAATGCTTGAATAAGTTCAAAACTACTTGAATAAGTTTAAAACTGCTTGAATAAGTTCGAAACTGCTTGAATAAGTTTGAAACTTCTTGAATAAGTTTAAAATTGGTTGAATAAGTTCAAAACTACTTGAATAAGTTCGTAACTGCTTGAATAAGTTCGAAACTACTTGAATAAGTTCGAAACTACTTGAATAAGTTCAAAACTGCTTAAATAAGTTCGAAACTGCTTGAATAATTTCGAAACTGCTTGAATAAGGTCGAAACTGCTTGAATAATTTCGAAACTGCTTGAGTCAGGTTGAAACTGCTTAAATTAGTTCGAAACTGCTTGAGTCATGTTGAAACTGCTTGAATAAGTTCGAAACTGCTTAAATAAGTTAAAAACTGCTTAAATAAGTTCGAAACTGCTTGAATAATTTCGAAACTGCTTGAATAAGGTCGAAACTGCTTGAATAATTTCGAAACTGCTTGAGTCAGGTTGAAACTGCTTAAATTAGTTCGAAACTGCTTGAGTCATGTTGAAATTGCTTAAATAAGTTCGAAACTGCTTAAATAAGTTAAAAACTGCTTGAATAATTTCGAAACTGCTTGAGTCAGGTTGAAACTGCTTAAATTAGTTCGAAACTGCTTGAATAATTTTAAAAATGCTTGATTAATTTCGAAACTACTTGAGTCAGGTCGAAACTGCTCGAATAATTTCAAAACTACTTGAATAAGTTCGAAACTACTTGAATAAGTTTAAAACTGCTTGAATAAGTTCGAAACTGCTTGAATAAGTTCGAAACTGCTTGAATAAGTTCGAAACTGCTTGAATAATTTCGAAACTGCTTGAGTCAGGTTGAAACTGCTTAAATTAGTTCGAAACTGCTTGAGTCATGTTGAAACTGCTTGAATAAGTTCGAAACTTCTTAAATAAGTTAAAAACTGCTTAAATAAGTTCGAAACTGCTTGAATAATTTCGAAACTGCTTGAATAAGGTCGAAACTGCTTGAATAATTTCGAAACTGCTTGAGTCAGGTTGAAACTGCTTAAATTAGTTCGAAACTGCTTGAGTCATGTTGAAATTGCTTAAATAAGTTCGAAACTGCTTAAATAAGTTAAAAACTGCTTGAATAATTTCAAAACTGCTAGAGTCAGGTCGAAACTGCTTGAATAAGTTCTAAACTACTTGAATAAGTTGGAAACTGCTTGAATAAGTTCGAAACTGCTTGAATAAGGTCGAAACTGCTTGAATAATTTCGAAACTGCTTGAGTCAGGTTGAAACTGCTTAAATTAGTTCGAAACTGCTTGAGTCATGTTGAAACTGCTTGAATAAGTTCGAAACTGCTTAAATAAGTTCGAAACTGCTTGAATAATTTCGAAACTGCTTGAATAAGGTCGAAACTGCTTGAATAATTTCGAAACTGCTTGAGTCAGGTTGAAACTGCTTAAATTAGTTGAATAAGTTTAAAACTGCTTGAATAAGTTCAAAACTGCTTGAATAAGATCAAAACTGCCTGAATAATTTCAAAACTGCTAGAGTCAGGTCGAAACTGCTTGAATAAGTTCTAAACTACTTGAATAAGTTGGAAACTACTTGAATAAGTTCGAAACTGCTTGAATAAGTTCGAAACTGCTTGAATAATTTCTAAACTACTTGAATAAGTTCGAAACTGCTTGAATAAGTTTAAAATTGCTTGAATAAGTTCAAAACTGCTTGAATAAGTTTAAAACTGCTTGAATAAATACGAAACTGCTTGAATAAGATCAAAACTGCTTGAATAAGTTTAAAACTGCTTGAATAATTTCGAAATTGCTCAAGTAAGATCAAAATGTTTTCAATAAGTTCAAAATTACTGCAATAAATTCAAAGCTGATTTAAAAACTTAAAGTATTCTTTTTGAACACACTTTTAACTGATCTAGCAAATTTTCCGGTCCTGACCACTGCCTCATCCACCCAAAAAATTCGTTTTAATACCTCAATTCAATAAATAACAAAACATTCCAAACTTTATCCTTAGCCTTGTCCTTCTGCCTTCGTTTTTTTATCCTTAATGTAAAATAAATATCCAAGAATTTTACGAGGAAATCGTCGTAGGCAGTTGACAACAAATATGGCGAACATTAAATTAAATTACGACAAAAAAAAATTCCATTTGTGAGAATTTCTTTTCCATTTTTCCACCTGAAATATATTTTTAAATGAGAAAAGCAGAATCGAGTAAATGTTGCGAGTATTTTCTTATGAAATTTGTAGTACCGGATATAATTTTCTATTAAATTATGGTAACCAAATAATTTTAAGGGTGGGTAGGGATTAGGTAGGAAATGTTTCAAGTACTATAGAATCAGATGCTAAGTGGTGAGTATAAGGTTTTTTAAATTGAATTTAAAATTTTAGTGTACATCGGCTTAGTTTGAAGATCATTCGTAAATGATGTATATAGCTAGTATTTTATTATTTTCTTGAGTCAACTAGGCAACAAGGACGTTAAGATTAGGTTAAGGCTAGGTTTAGGTTAGGTTTAGGTTAGGTTTAGGTTAGGTTTAGGTTAGGTTTAGGTTAGGTTTAGGTTAGGTTAAGGTTAGGCCAAGTGAACGCGTTGCAAACGAATCCTATGAATTAAAAATTACTATTACAAAGAAATAATATATTATTATATTCTCAAAACTACCTCATACTCAGCCTCAAAAGCACTTACATCATCTTCTCTGAATTAAAAACTAATTTTTACAACAATTTTCAGTAATTTATTAAAAGAACCCAACAAGATGGAAAAAGCCACTAATGAAGAAATCAAGATGTAACTTCACAGCAAGCACCAACAACTTGTAAAGGCAAATTGAGGAGGAAGCACTTGAAAAAAAAGAAAAATAAAAACTTGTTGAAGTGAAAAAAAAGAAAAATTTTTCCTTCAAGCAGATTTTAAACTTTTTATTTTCTTGCTTCCATTACGACGAGAGCTGAAAGTCAGAAATTTATTGCACTTCTTCTCACTTCCTCCTTCATTCCACTTTTCCGTCAGTTATATAAAATATCCTCAAATAAAAAATAAGAATAGAAAGCTTTATTCTAAAAAATGCCAGAAGCAATATAATGGAAATTTTCTTTTTCTGTTAAAAGCACTTGATTCTGTTTACAAGTTGGGAGTTGCCAAATTCATGTATATTATAATATTTCATGGAAAATTGAACAAAAGAGTTTCTTTTTCTTATCAGCACTCAATGGTCTTCTTACCGACTTATTTTTATTTAGATTCTATAGCTCATTCAGTAGAAGTGTTGTTGTTAACTTATTGGCTGACATATTGATACTCATTCTGGATTGAGCTAGGGTGTTTCGCAGCTAATGAGAGTTTAACGAGTGAGGATGCGCCAAACCACTGCACTTAAACCTTGACCTTCAATTTAAAGTGGAATACGAACCACTCATTTGATGACATTTCTGTGTGTAGCCTACAAAGGAAGGCTGTGAGCCTCATTTCTAGTACATATGATTCGAAAAATGACAATCGAAAAATTTTCCAAATCCAGTCTCGAACTCATGATAGCTGTATCATGCAATAATTAGGTACCGAAGTACTAAACCATTACGCCATCAAGGCACTTCAGCTCACCTGATCCTATAATTGCTTAGCAACAATTATTAGAAGTTTTTATTATTTTATTTATTATAGCTTTCTTTTTCCCACTCTCTCTTTTCAAGGAAAAAGCCTCGTCAAACAGTAGGATCCTATAATCCTGATCCTATAATAATAATAATCGAAAAATTGAACGAATTTCAAATGAAATTCTTACAATTCTGAAAACAAAATTCTCTAAGCGCAAGTCTTCAAAATTTCACGAATGTTTGCTGCTTTACAGATAAAAGAAAAGGGAGAAAAAAGTATGACAGTTACTGATAAATTTCTTATTGATTATCTGGAATATTTCATCTGTCATTTTCGATCCCTTTTTCTTTTGTGTATGTTAAATGTCTTGACATGTCCCATGAGAAATCATTTTTGAACAAAAATTTTGTGGCAAATTTTAAAAAAACTTTTTGCATTTTGTCTTGAAATGTGGTGATAAAAATATTTTGAGCTCAACCAGACTTAAACTTTCTATTTGACCTAAACTTGAATGATTTAAGGAAGCTAAGCCAGAGTCGAAGCCGAAACATTCGACTGACAACCCAGTCCAGACCTGAGTCATTAATAAATCATTATAATCGAATTGACTTCAATAACTCAATAACTGCCATTTATTGTAGATTATAAAACTTCATCAATCACCATAGCGTTAGTCGTCAAAACAATCACATACGCTTATATCACATTCATATAGAATTGAACGACATTTAAATATTTCTGTATTCGAAAAAAATTAACTTCATTGAAAATGAAGCATTTTGGACTCGTCTTGATTTTATTCGCAGTCTGCAATCGGCCAAAAGTTTGATGTCATGACACTTACTGACGTTTTGTAAGCACTAAAGATTCAAAATTGCCAAAATTCATATGCAATGCTGTAATTGACATAGTCAGGAAGGATCGTCAAATCAGCACAGTTTCCATGGCAATTTTTGAACACAACTTTGAGTTATCAATTATTGATAAGACATTAAAGTGCATACCGAAGAGATTATCAGTCAATGTCAAGGACTTTCGATTTGAACAGCATAAACCTGAAGTTTATGACAGTAAGGCATCGATTGTGATTATGATTGCTGATAAAATTGACATGGTGAGGCAGCTTTATAGCTTTTTTAAAGATATTTTAATCATGAATAAATTTTACAGCTCAAATTCAGGAAGATCATGACTGATAAGCGGCTATCATCAATACTACATCACATGGCAAAGTTCCTTATCGTCACATCAACCAGAAACAGCCAACTAGGACAAGTCGCATCGAAATTCTTTCCTAAAGTTGGCATCTTCAATTTCGGTCTAGTATATGAGAAGGATGAAGACATTTTTGTGGAAGTTTCAAACCATTTCACAAACTCAACTGCTATCTTAAATGCAACGTCACTGTCGGCTTCTAGGAAGAATCCTTGGAAAGGCATCTCAAGCAAGATTTTTCCTGACAAACTGAAGAACCTCAATGGCTACACCTATCGCATTGCTTATCATCACGGAATGTCCTACGCTCATTATATTCCCGAAAATGAGAAACTTGTTGCCAAGAATCAAAACTTTTTCAAATCTGTCGCTGACCTTCAAAATGCCACATTAGAATTCATTCTTATAATGGCAACTGAGCAGCATGATATTCAACCAGTTATGGAGAATTTAATACTTAATCAAAAAATGGATGTTACTATCAGTGAATCAAGGTTGACTCCTCCGAATACTTCAAAAATCTTCACTTACGATGAAATTGCAGTTTGTGCTATGATTCCAAAAAGCTTGAAAATTGAAATTGCTGGATTGAAATTAATCGATTTCCGAAAGAATTACACAAGAAAATTATTGACAATTTTGCTTGTTTCTAGTTTCATGATTGTTTGGCGACTGTACAAAAATCGAGGAGCAGTGGATTCTACATGGAGAATTGCTTTTGTCGGATTTGCTCACTTCACTGGACATCACATAAAAATTAGTCGAAATAATCGTCGAATTTTGTTGATTTTACTTCAAACTGCTTTATTTATGGCGATTTTTATCAAAAACTTTTATGAATGCCACATTTCGTCGATAGCCATAAATAGAAAAGTTGATGCAAAATTCGAAAGCATTGAGGAGATTCTCCAGTATGGAAAAATACAAATGGCTGTAGATGAAAGTGTAAATGATGTTTTAAAAGATTTTGCCGAATATCAGGAACAAGTGGAGAAAGGTTTTCTGGATATTGCTTACAAATATGGAGATAAGATCGAAATAATTGATGAGTATGTTGCAGCTAGAATTGCATTCACCAAATGTGACTACCTTGATCATTATATTCGAGCTTCTAAATCCGTAGCTCATTATATGCTACCACAGCGATTCTATGTACGATTTCTTGCACTTGATGTTCCATTATTGAGTCCATTTGCAGCGCGACTTCAAAATATCCTGTCTCATGCGTTTGACTCAGGATTAACACAAAAATGGGAGACAATTTACCTAACAGAGCTCTTTGACACCAAAAACAGCAATTTAAAGCTTTACGAAGCTAAGGACGAGCATGGAGAATTTATTACATTCAGAGAATTTAAAAAACCTCTCAAAATCATATTCGGATTATATTCCATTGCCACATTTGTGTTTCTGTGTGAGATATTTTGGTTAAGTTTCCTTAAGAATTTATCTTGGTCATTGGTGCTGAAGATTTTTGAATGCAGACAAAGAAACGAACCAATAAAATGGGAATCATTGGGAAGAATTCGACGAATGTTGCATTTCTGGAGACAACGAAGAACCATGAATGTTCGAAGAATTCAAGTTCAACCTATAAATGTTTAAACGTTTGATTGATTAAGTTAACATCCGAACAAACACACAGCTTTTAATTGCACTATGATGTGCTTTAAAATAATATTCTATATTTGTTGTGGTTCAAAATGTATCTATTGGATACTTCATGTTAATAAAAATTTTTTATAAAACTTAAATTAAATTTACTTTATCGAAAGCCTTCAATATGGACGCAACATTGCTTTACATTGTAGCATTCTACGCAATTCTAGTTTTGAAAGTCAATTGCGATGAAACTTTGAGAAAATTAAAGATCATCAACGGCTCAAAAGTAACAAAATTTATCTGCGATGCAGTTGAGGATACATACATGAAGAATCAACAAATTAGCACAGTCTACATGGCAATCTTCAAGAACAAAATTGAGTCATCATTAATCGATGAAACAATAAAGTGCATTCCAAAGAGATTGTCAGTCATTGTTACAGATTTCCGATCTGATCATCAAAAGCTTGATAAAGGCAACAGGAAGGCATCGATTGTGATTGTGATTGCTGATCAAACAAACACGGTGAGGATAGTCTTGTAAGTTTTGAAGACGGAACTATGATGTTTATTTTTGTTTGTTACATTTATGCACATCAAGTTCAAGAAAATCATGTCGGATCAGTACTTTGGCATTAATCATATGGCAAACTTCATCATTATCACATCAAACAGGAACAGCCAAACAGCACGGATTGTATCGAAATTTCTTCCTAAAGTTGGCTTCATCAATTTCTGTCTGGTATATGAGAAGGATGAAGAAGTTTTTGTGGAAGTTTCAAACCATTTCACAAACTCAACTGTCATCTTAAACGGAACATCACTAGCTTCTTCTAGAAATAATCTTTTTAAAGGCATCTCAAGCAAAATTTTTCCTGACAAGCTAAAGAACCTCAATGGCTACACATTCAACATTGCTTATCATCCAGGAATGTCCAATGCGCATTATATTCACGACAAACAAAATCTTATTGCAAAAAATCGATACTTTTTCGATGTGGTAGCTGCAACTCTAAATGGCAACGTCAGTTACTTAATTTTTAACAGAACTTCGCCAGATCTACTTGAGACTAAATTAACAAAAATGCTTCATAAGCGTCAAATTGATGCCACTTTAAGTGAATCAATGTTGTCTGATCAATTATCTGAAAGCATATGGACATATGATGGAAATGCCATCTGTGCAATGATTCCACACAGCATAAATCGTGAAAATTTTGTAATGAATTTCAGTATATTTTGGAAAGATAATATGGGAAGGCTTTACCTAATTTCTTTATTCTTGTTAACTTTCTTAGTTTGGAGATTATATAAAGGACGTGGTGCTGCTGACTCAATCACAAATATAATGTTCGTCATGTATGCTTATTACACTGGACATCATACGAGAACGAGTCCCAACAATCGATTTATATTGAAATTGTTGCTTCAAATCATTTCCATTGCCATGCTTGTCATTAGAATTTTTTCTGAATGTGAAATAACTTCGACTGCAATTGATGTTAAGTCTGCAAAACAATTTAATTCTATCGACGATGTACTAAGACACTGTGGATTAAGCATAGTCATTAGTTCAAGTGCTAAGCAGCTTTTATCATATTTAAAGAATCAGACAACAGACACAAATCAGGGAAGTTACACTATTAAAAATGTATATCGTAGAGTAGACAGAGAGATTCGGGGATATGCAGCAGATGAAGTTGTCATTTCTAAATGTGACTTTTTAGATCATTACATAAGAGGTTCAAGTTTTAGCACACATTATATCCTTCCGCAACGATTCTTTTCACATTTTATCAAGCTTGATGTTGGCCATTTGAGTCCATTTACAGAACGATTTCAAAACATGATGAACCATGCTTTCGACACTGGATTGACTCAAAAGTGGGAGAAATATTACCTAACTGATATGTTTGGAAGTAGAAACGAGAATCTGAGAAGCTACACGGATAGCGAATCTTATGAACATTTAATTGGGTTCGAACAACTTAAGAGGCTTTTCGAGCTAATGATTGGAATCTATGGAGCAGCAAGTGTTGTTTTACTTTGTGAGATATTTTGGCATAGTTTTTTGAGGAGGTTATCATGGAGATTAGTATTGAAAATTTTCAGAAGGTGTCAAAGAGATGGACTGATAAAATCGGAATCTGTTGCAAGAATTCATCATTTTTTGAGGCAACGAAGAGTCATGAATGCAAGGATGATTCAGGTTCGACCTATTGAGACTTAAAAATTTTGAATATCTGCTGCTTACTAATTTGGGATCAAGAAGGGCAAAAAGGAAGCAAATTATCATAAAAAAGTGATAAAATAAGGTTAAAATCATTTAGGTACTAGCCATAAACATGTTAGCAGCACTCAGGATGAAGCAAGGGAGAAAACAGTGTTCAAGGGATTCACAGCAAACCAGAACATTCTCTCGGTAGCTTAAAAGCGAAAGAATTGTCATCAGATCATTCAAAATCAATAATCTATTCAATAATCACGCTCTGAAAAATCAATTTATGTGAAAAATGTTCAGCATATTCAATAACCAATTGCATAAAACCACAATAAAGCATAAAAAATATATATTCAAGAAACTGAACTTGATTTATTGTTTTTGTTTCATAAATTTTGGTTTAGAATTTTTTTCCCGCTCATTGCAGCCGCTATGCTGAATGTATCAAATTTTTTCAATCCAATATAATTTATTTCATAAAATAGATAGTGAATGTAGAGGAAAATTAATATCAGAAAAAAATTCACTGGCTGTGAAGCCTGCATGCTGCTGATGCTTCACTATAAATGATGATTTAATGATACAATTTCCGGGAATATTTGTTTTTATTCAGAGCAAAAAAATCAGCCGCAAGCTCAATAAAATTCAAAATTCTCAATTTTTCGTCCTCAATAAAGACACAAAATATTTTTTATAGCCAGTAAGTCTCATAACTCTCAATTTATAGACGACCACAATACAAAGAACATTATAAAATCGATGTGCTTTTGTTTCTCATAAAAAAAAACCCAAAAATCTCTTTTAAAATTGAAGATTTTTTTTTGGGGCGGGTACGAAAAAATAAATATTTAAAAACAATAAATTTCTATCAGCGTGATTTAAGCTTTTATGAATATTTTATGTGCATTTTTATATGCTGTATGATGGAGAGAAGAAAATGTGTGTTTTAGAAAATTGAGAAACCAATATTTGGGGGGTAAATATTTTTTATGAATTTGTTATTTAATATTTTTTTGAATTTTATTGTTTTTAATTTTTTAAAATTAATTTTTCGTTTTTTAGATTTTTTTTAAAATTTTTAACTTCGATTTCTAGTTTATTTTAATAAATATAATTTATATTTTAAAAAAATTAAGGTTCATTTTTTTGGAAAATTAAAGTTTAAGATTTTTTATAAATATAAAGTTTAAATTTTTATATAAAATAAAAATTCAAATTCTTTCAAAAAATTCAAATTCAAATTTTTTCAAAAAATTAAAATTCAAATTTTTCAAAAAATTAAAATTCAAATTTTTTAAAAAATTAAAATTCAAATTTTTTTAAAAATTTAAACTTTTATTTGAAAATGTTTTAATATTTTAACTTAAAAAAGATTTAAAAAATTCTAAAATTCCAAAAAATATTCAGTTTTAAAAAACTAAACTTATTTTTTCAAAATTCCAAACCCCCCAATTTTTATAACACAAGAAACCACCAATAAGTACGGCTTCATTCACAAATTTTTTTTATTATACATTTATTTATTTTTATCGACATAATGTTAAAATATGAAAATTTGAAACAATTTTTTATGCTCATTGAATGAACAAAGACGTCCTTAAAAGTATCAAAAAGACAATTTTCACATTCAATTGATTTTCTTTTATTCATGTTCAACAAATTTATGAGACTTTTGCTTCAAATAAATGAGATTAAATGTGTGAATGGAAATGACTATAAATAAATATTTTTCTGGCTTTTAATTCTTCCTTTTCGGTCCATAATCTCTTTTGAATCACTCCTAATTAATCAAATTTTATTTAGTTTTTTTGTCATTGAGGATTGAATGGCGCCTTTGTTTATAGCATTTTTCTCATTTTGTGGATTAAAACTTATGTGGTATCGGATTACAATGACATAAATTATGTCGAAAAGTTTGGGTTTTGGTGATGGAGACATCAAATGGAGATGAAAGCTTTTGAGAGGGGATTAACTTAAGCTTTTTAATGTGTGCTTGTTTATCTTGATGAGACTTGATTTAAAGCTGGGCTATGGTCAAGGGTCAGACACTCCAACAGAATTGTAAGGATTGTACAATCCTTACAATCCTTCCATACGAATTGTAAGGATTGTACAATCCTTACAATCCTTCCATACGAATTGTAAGGATTGTACAATCCTTACAATCCCCCCAATCCTTTTCATATATGGATTGTAAGGATTGTACAATTCCTACAATCTTTCTATATAAGGATTGTAAAGATTGTAAAATCCTTACTAAACAAAAATAATGTTCATTTATTTTTAAAAAATAAAATAAAATACGAAAAATGAAGAAAAACAGTCAGAAATTTTTTAAGAAAAATTATATTGAAAATTACGGAGTTGCTAATGGAGTCACATATTGTTATGATGTATATATCTATATATTCTTATATTTTATACCTGCACAATATATAGGAACACACAATACTTTACTGTGAATCAATTCGAATGATTTTTTATACATTTTAACTTATTAAAAAGTTGTAAAATGTATAATTTTTACACCTGTGACCAGGATGGGTGATTTGAATCAAAAATCAAAATCATAATCTTTTTGAAATGAATTTTAAAAGGGATTTTGATTTAAATCAGTTTTGTATGGGGGTTTTTTTGGATTTTGATTTAAATCTCTTGTTTGAAAGATTTTATTGGGATTTTAAAATCCCTCCATGCAAAATTTTTGTATTCAATTTCTCAAATTATTTTTCAAATCAACAGTTTTCAGTTGCAGTTCCTAATAAGTAAGAATGTAGTTGATACTTTTTTGGCCAGAATCTTGCAACTGGATCTTTTAGATTCAAACATTTCTTAAAGAAAGTTTACAGCAACCAATGGTTCCATGCTGTTTGACTTAAACGAAATCCTTTTCATGATTTTTAATCTTCTGTGCCTTGCTGCTTACACATAAATAACTGGACTTCATCAAGCATGCCTGGATCTTACTGCATATGAGGATGCTGCATAAGGAACAGGCCAGTTCCGCAAAAAATTTTGACTTCAAGAGGTGATTCCTTGATGAAAAAGCAACAAAAAAAAATTTTTTGTGGATGTAAAGGAACTAGGCAGTTCAAGTGCCTATTCTTGCTTATGACTCATTAAACTAACGTAGATTACTTTGGTACTGTAATAAAATATATTTTACTTTTAAAAAGCATTGAAAGCAGGTAGTTCCTCATATGCAGTAAGATCCAGGCATGCTTGATGAAGTCCAGTTATTTATGTGTAAGCAGCAAGGCACAGAAGATTAAAAATCATGAAAAGGATTTCGTTTAAGTCAAACAGCATGGAACCATTGGTTGCTGTAAACTTTCTTTAAGAAATGTTTGAATCTAAAAGATCCAGTTGCAAGATTCTGGCCAAAAAAGTATCAACTACATTCTTACTTATTAGGAACTGCAACTGAAAACTGTTGATTTGAAAAATAATTTGAGAAATTGAATACAAAAATTTTGCATGGAGTGATCTTAAAATCCCAATAAAATCTTTCAAACAAGAGATTTAAATCAAAATCCAAAAAAATCCCTTTGAAAAATCATTAAAAAGGTTTTGATTTTTGATTTAAATCACCCACCCTGTATTTCCATTGTTTCGTTCTTTAAATTCAAACAAATAGATTTTTAATATTAAGTTAATATTTCTTCTTTAATAACCTATGAAAAACATTTTTAAGTGTTCCATACAATTATTTCATCCCTACAATCCTTATATGGAAAGGATTGTAAGGATTACAATCCCTTCAATCTTTTCCATATAAGGATTGTAAGGATTACAATCCCTACAATCCTTCTCATATAAAGATTGTAAGGATTGTAAGGATTGTACAATCTTTACAATCCTTCCATATGGATTGTGAAGAATTGTACAATCTTTTACAATTCTGTTGGAGTGTCTGACCCTTGGCTATGGTTTCTTTTTGAGGTTATACTTGGTAAGGAGGCTCATATTTGGAGTCTTATTCCCTTTTGAATACCAGTTTAGGATTGTAAAGTGGAGTGGGGAACGTTTGCCTCTCTTCAAACCCCTGCCTTCACAACAAGGATGAAATAAAACATTTTAGAATTCGAACCCACACATTTAGATGAAAGACCTCCAGAATCGCACATTAGTCATTCAGCTATCTAGTAGCTTTACATTTTTGAGTAAATATGGCTGCTATAAGTCCTTTATCATTACTTACTACCAATCCTGAAATGAGTTCACATCTAAATTGTCCAGCCGTTACATTTCTTCACACTATCCCGCTCAACACAAGTCGGTTAATCGAATAGAAATCTGGCACCCAGCTGGAGTGACTCTGGTATTGTGTTGGATTCGATTTGATTCCAAAACCATGCCAGAGTCTGGTGCTGGCTTTCTTTTTGATCAACCAACTTGTGCCTGTTGGGAATTAACAACATCTCATAGCTCAACCCTACCTGCACCACATACAACATCACATCCAACCCTTTCAAACATCACAAATGCTGAACCTTCATTTAAACGAATCAAAATGATTGAAAAAAGTACTTTAAGTATATTTTATACAGCCTCATATCTTCACTGATAACAATCTTTATGGCACGCCTTATAATGTATGTGGGTTAAATGTGAATAACCCGAAAAGTCTATTCAAGATCTGAGAAGATTCATTCACACATCAACATTTTTCATTCGTTTCAAATGGATATTCAGTGGGAAAAAAAGAAGATCTTAGATGTCTATCTGTGTATCTTCATTATTCCTATAAAAAGATGTTATTGTGGATTTTTATCGTTCAGTTTTTATTTCATCTTTTTGATGGGAAGCTTTAAGAACACTTTAAAATGGATTTTTCGTACGTGCTTTCAATTATTTTGAAAATTTTGGCATTTATTGGATTTTATCAGTCGGAAAATGAATTGCGGACGAGAAAGAAAAATGTGATTATTATTATGGCAGATGACATGGGGTACAATGACGTTAGTTTTCGAGGAAATACTGAAATACCGACTTATAATATTGACGCACTAGCTTTTAGTGGTGTGGTGTTAAATAAGTGAGTAAAATTGAATTTTTTGGATGTTGTCCAACGGATAAAAACTTAATTTCTAGCTTTAAAACACCACCAATGTGCACACCAAGTCGAAGTGCATTAATGACTGGCAAATACCCACACAAAATAGGAATGCATGACTTTGTAATAGTGTCAAACGAGCCTTGGGGGTTAGATCCAAAAGAGAAAATATTGCCGCAATATTTCAAGGAAGCTGGCTACGTCACACGATTAGTTGGAAAGTGGCATTTGGGACATTTCCAACAGCAGTACACACCAACAAAGCGACACTTTGATTCCTTTTTTGGATATTTAACTGGTGTCATTGACTATTTTGATCATACAAATTTTGGTCCAAATTCATCCACTGGACTTGATTTCCGCAGGAATCTTGAAATTGACAAAACATCCACAACAAAATACGCGACAGATTTATTCACAGAGGAGGCTGTGCAGCTGATAAAAAGCCATAATAAATCAAAACCTCTCTACCTTCAATTAAATCACTTGGCACCACACAGTGGAAGCAGATTGGATCGTCCGATGGATGTTAAGCCTGAAATCCTTTCAAAATTCTCATACATTGAAGATCCAGTTCGACGAAATTTGTCAGCAATGATTTATGAGCTTGATAAGAGTGTGGGTGAGGTTATTCATGCATTAAAGGATAACGATATGTTGGATGATTCTATCATTATTTTTTACAATGACAACGGATGTCCGACTTATGGACATTTCGGTACGCATTGCTCGAATTATCCATTGAGAGGGGTAAGGATTAAAATTGAATTTTTATGTGGGCAGATAAAGGCTTAGTCAATGAAAAGTTTTTGTTACTAGAATTAAAATGATTTTGATTGACATTAAGGATGAGGATTTTGAATTTTTGGGGGTTACTCTTTTTAATATAGATGGTCTAGCCTGGTTGCTAAGTATCAAATACATTTTCTTTATCTTCTAGCAAAAGGCAACAGCATTTGAAGGTGGAACAAGAACAAATGCCATAATATACTCAAATGAGCTACCAAAAGGATCCATCCGTAACCAAATGATCCATGTCAGTGACTTATTGCCAACATTAGACACCCTTTCAGGTGCTAGCTTCAAATATCCCACAAAAATTGATGGAATCGATCAGACAACCCGAGCGGCACAAGGTGGAGGGTGGTCTCCATATGGAATCCATATGAAAGCCACCTCCACTATGTGGGAAGTAAATGGAGGGTTATTTTTTCATCCTTCATATTGATTCCATTTGGATTCCATATGAACTCCGCTTTTTCTTAAATCAAATACCGAAAAACTCGTGCTTTTGAATTTTTAAAAGACAAAGGTCAGATCTTACTGTAATGGATTGAAATATTGTCGAAAAGCTTTACTGAATCATATTGCTTCATTTCAAGCTTTAAAAAAGCAAAAAAGAATAATTTTTTGTGATTTTGTATGAAATTACATACTTCACAAGCGCATGCAGAAATCACTATTATATGGGGTCGTTTAATTTGTATGAAAATTTTTAATAATTTCTTATGTTTCTCACGCGTGTGATCGAGACTTAGAAATTTCTGTGGTTGCGACTTAATTAAATTAAGTTGTAAATTTTTCAATGGTGTTAGTGTACTTTAATTAAGTCCACTAATACAGCTACAAATCTTGATATAAAAATTGCGAAACATAGAAAAACACGTGGAAAATCGTACCAAAAATCCTTTGAAAAAAACTTCCATTAAACCTCCGTTTGACTACCACAAATGGATCCTCCATCCTCCATCAAAACCTCTCAAATGACTTCCATTTGGTGTTAATAAATGCACGTCCCACGGAAGATTTTCGGAGCTTTGGCTCCGTCAAAGTTCCATGATAGTAAGGTTTTCGGAAGATTTTCAAATGGAGGGTGGAACATGGAGGCTCCGTATAGCTTCCATATGGAAGGCAAATGGAGCCTTTGTGCCGCTCGGGCAAGAACCCTAAAAGATGAAAACATAGAAGCTTTAAGGAATGAAATATTCACTATTGACAATCAAGGTTATGCGTACAATAACGTTTTTATAACAATAAAAAGATTCTCATTGGGACAAAGTTTGATGGCTTATATGATACACATTTGGGAGCAAACATAAACAGAGACATCAATTCCAACAACTACAATGAGAATGTCGTCAATTCTGCTGCCGGAAAAGCTTTCGATTTAAAGCTAGATCAACAGAAAATAAATCATTTTAGGAAAATTGTCCAGATTAACTGCACAAGCGCAGAAATGAAAAATTCGTGTGATTTAATGAAAGCTCCATGTCTCTTTGATCTTAGTGTTGATCCATGCGAAGCAAATAATTTAGCAGATAAACATCTTGAATTGTTGATAGAAATGAAAGCAAGATTTGATATTCAAATGACATTTGCGGTTGAAAGTCGCAGACAACCGTCAGATCCACTTGCTGATCCGAAGTTTCATGATTTTACGTGGACATGGTGGCAGGATGATGAGTTTGGTGGCTGATGGAAGTCGTGATTGTGAAGCGAATTGTTTGAGTGGTCTAGGGAATTAAATAAGTGGAAATATTAATTTTTTTGAAAATTTCTTTCATTCAAACCTGTTTTGTGCCTTAAAATTCATAAACAATACGTGAGACAATAAAATAAAATAAAAAGGAGTGTTTTTAAATTTAGAACAAGTCAATAAGTCACATTTCAGATTTTATTGCTGACAACCTTTGTGAAATTTCAAATTAAAAGAGAATCTTTGTGAATATTATGAAGTGTGGAATTGTTTGTTGCTTTATATTTAGATTTAATTTATTAAGTATGCTTAATAATGCTCTTGGGATTCTCATTTGTAGATAGAAGCATGTCTTGAAGGATTGATTAAAATTTTGTTGGTCAAATGAACTGGTGATCGCTACTGGATATGCCATTACCGAACCATAATAAACATAACCTTTTATTTATAGACTCAACAAGGTTTAGCAACTTAAGTAAGGAATTGAATAAATCTGAGTATTTGATGAACCACAAGAAGGACTCGAACCCTTGTCTTACGATTTACAATCGAACACTTCCCTCCTGAACTATTGGAGGATACCTGATTATTTGGTAGAATGTTGTACATAAATTACATATTATTCTGTTACACTTGCACTTCCGTGATTAATTGTTGACTGGATATTCCATGAACTCTATAATTCCAACATTTTACGTGCCATAGATTTATCTTGCATCATAAAATATAAATAATTCCCTAATTCAGAATGTGTAAGAATTAAATCCTATTTATTGCAGCACATTAAACAGATTTGAGCTTTAATTAATTAATGTCTCATGCTTCCTCAAATCTATACAATTTCTCCAAACCTATATCAAGTGGAAGAAGCCACAAATCAAATTAACAAGCACATTGCATGTTCAACAAACAACAAAAGTAAAATATCTCAACATAACAATAAAGAGCAACTCACAGAAGCTATTTTGACTCCCCAGTGCTGGTTGTTTGTAGATCACCTCATGTCATGACATGTGCTTCCATTTTCTTTCTTTTTCATCTTGTCGTGTACACGATGCGAAGTAAACAAACGAATATTTAATAAAGAAAAATAAGAAGTTACGGAAAAAAGAAGAAAAATGATATTTATACTAGTTGAATGGATGAGTAAGAGCTGCGGGAAAAAAATGAGAGAGAAGCAACGGACGGAACCGAAACCCTCGTCAAGTTGTCTCTCCTCTTGATAATTTTCTTTTTCCATTTTTTTCTCATCTAGAGATTATTAATAAGCAATATAATATTTTTTATTAAGGCTCATTTAGCTATTCTGAAAAGGGGCCGTTCACTTATGACGTCCAGGTTTGAGCCCCCCCCCCCTCCTTAGAAAGAAAAGAACAATAGAAATTCCTGGAAATTTTTCAAAAATTATCGTTAATGTGACCGGACGTCATAATTGAACGACCCCAAATGAGTTTGATGAAATTTTTGAGGACATTCTTTTTAAGGAGCTTTTTGAGGACAGTTGAGCTTTTAGTGAATATGAGATCGCGTCAATAATAGTCCTATTGAGGTGGGGGTGTTTGGTTCGACACTCAAAGTATCAAACTAGCTATGCAATATGACCTAGTTTTTTAAAACCACAACACATCTTGAGATCTTTAACAAAAGTCAGCCAGTCAAAAAATCCCCAAACCTCACAAAATAAAAGCTCTCATAAAAATTCAGCAAAATTATTCGTCGTTATTCAATTTTTCGCTTACGCATTCCAGTCAATGTGTTGTTTTCGGGGTCGTATTCCATCCCTCCACAAAACATACAAATTACGTACAATTTTTTTTTTCTTCTCATTTAAGCTCTCGCAAGAAAACGACACATATTTAGTCGTGACAACACCTATAATGAAATTACTGGTTGCGGAGATATTTTAACAACGGCTTGAGTAAGAGGAAGCTAATAAGCCTCTTCAACATCGTGTTATGTTTCTCACTCTCAATGGAAAATAGGCGTACAACATCAAGCGGCAATTAATAAATTACTGACAAATCTCATTAACTTACCATGGCTTATGGCTTGAATAAGTACTTGTGTAAATAAACATTAGTCAACTTTATTCCTATACTATTGTCTACATCAGTGGTGGGCAACCTTTTTTTGTGCCACGGCACACCTAAGTGGTAAACCAGGACTTAAACTCACACTGTTTGTGGGTTTTCATGAATTTTTCCGCGACACATAGGTTGACCATCACTGGTCTCCATCATCCCACGACTTTCTATTACTAGCTTAAAATTTTTGAAGATGATGATGAGTTGTTTAATGAGATTTTATAGGAATTGTACAAGAAGTTTTAGGCAAAATGAGATTGCTACTTATTACTACTACCGAGAACTGTATATCTTGAACTTAATTGGATTATTGTTGACATGAGGATTCAGGAATTTTTTGGTATTAATTAATAAGGTATTAATGAAAGTTTGTTGGTAATTTGGATGATGTTTTTGAGAACAAGATGTTGAATTTCGAGGTGTAAAAGTTTTAAATTTGATTAAATTAAGGTTTTGTGATTCAAATTAAATTAAAATGTTTTGATGTATTTCTTGTGAAGATTGAAAATGAAAAGTCTATTTTTAGATAAAAAGCTTAAAGGTATTTGGGTTTAGAATTATCAGGTAGACGATATTTTGTAGCTTAGCAGCCTTTTAAAGCCATCAAAAAGGAGATTTTAGAATCCGTACATTGATTATCTAGGAAAATTTTATGACCGGAGATAAGAGGAGGGAATTAAAACTTATTTTTTTAAAATAATAAATGAACAACTTTGGGTCGTAAACAGGAATTATTAATCGGGGGAGTGGGGCGTTGTTAGAGGAAATTGATTTTGAACCTTTCCTTCTTTCGTTCTTCTTTACTTGGTTTTTGATTATAATTAGTATCTATATTACTTATCTACATTAAATTTCAGAGTTCCCCCTGTCATATTATGACCACAGCAGCTATGTGTCAGGCAGGGGCGTAGCCAGGAATTTGAAGAGGGGGGGACAAAAAATATATGGAAAATTCAGAGGGAAGGTAGGGATTTTTATGATTTTTTCATAAAACTCTTAGCAAAATGAAGAAATTTCTGTTAACGTCGGGGGATTTGTCCAACAAATCCCCCCCCCCCCTTCTGGTTACGCGCCTGCTGGCAGCATATGTGTTGAGTGCAGTTTTGAGGTCTTCGGCACATAACGTGTGCCTTTGCTGGGTATAATAGGATATACTAGCATCTAGATGACTTCATTACGGCATCTTGCAGGGTATATCAGGTCTTTAGACGTCCTCGAGTCTTTGCAATGAGCAAATCTTGTAAGTGGTTTGGATTTCACTATAAAATGGAAAGTCTATAAGGTCCCTAATCGCAGTCCCTCTAGCTCAAAAAGGCTGGACCCTCTCCATACTTTATCTTTTCAACATTTTATGTTTCAGTATATATAAATGTCACATGACACTAATGTGGACTTCTTTGTAATTTTCTTCATTAAATTTCTTTGCCAAAATTGGATCATACTCCAAAATACAGTTCTGCATCTTCTGAACATCCAATTTAATAAATATTGCTTTCCACGATCAGAAACTATTTATAATCCATCAACAATCTCTCAAAAAAATCTTATCAGCCCAAGAATCATACCGACCCAACTGAAATCCTCAAATGGAATATCATATTTTGATACTCATCATATAAATACATAAATAACGATAATTCTACAACAAAATTTCTTGCTCGACAGAATAAAGGCAAGCAAGTTTAAAACGTTAAATGTGAAAAATGAGAAACATCGTTTAACCAAAAACTCTGTGTGTATATCATGAGACAACACAAAAAAAGCTTAAACAAAAACAAGAGAATGAAAAATATAAAATCCAATATTTGATTTGATGAGGGTTGCCCCATCCCTATTCCCGTTAACTTAGAAATAAAAAGGTTTATTAAAATTTTCATAAATATACAAACCCCATCTGCACCATCTTTTCATCTTCTTCTCTGTGTCATTTCTCATTATGAAACTTAAATTGTGTGTATGTGAATATGAGAAACATACAATAAGCCCTATGGAATGTCTCATACTTTATAGTTGTATTTTTGTGTACTCCAAAGTCCCACATGAATTTATAAGAAAAAAAAAGTAAAAAGAAAGTCTTTAGTTTATGAGATAAGGAATGTTTATGATGTTTGACGAGGCAAAAAGAAGGGAAAAATTCTGAAAAAGTAGAAGAAGCAGGTACACAGTTTGGATATAAATTTACAATAATAATATCAGACTACTTATGAATGGATACGAAAACGTGATGATAAACAGGAAATGAGAGGCAGAATTTCTTGGAATTTGATATTTCTTCTATTTGAGAAGTTTGCTTGACTTTCTGTGGAACTTTGTAAATTGAGGGACTTCTTTTTAATATGATTGAGTTTGCTTTTTCTCTTTTTCAGATTTATTCTTCAAAACAAAATTAATTTTGAGCTGTTTGTTTGCTACGAATCAACATCTTTACAGTTCTGAGAACGGGTTGAAGTGTTGGTCCATAAGATGAAAATGTTTGAATAGTTCTATAAATTTATTGTTTATTTGGTCTTATTTGTGTCTGAATGAGTTAAATTTGAAGATTCTCTAGAAGGCATAGTTTTGAGTTTGAACTGTTTTCGACTAAGTTAAACTAGATTTGAACTAAGTTTGATGTAGGTTTGAACTAGGTTTGATATAGGTATGAACTAAGTTTGAACTAAGTTTAAACTAAGTTTGAGCTATGTTCGAACTATATTTGAACTAGGTTTAATCCAAATTTAAACTTAGAATTTGAACCAAGTTTTAACTAAGTTTGAAGTATGTTTGAAATAAGAATTTGAATTAAGTTGAAATTAGGTTTGAACTAGGTTTGAATAAGGTTTAAACTATGTTTAAATTATATTTGAATTGAGATTAAACTAGTTTTGAACCAGTTTGGAACTAAGTGTAAACTAAGTTTAAACTAAGGTTGAACTAGGTTTGAAGCAAGTTTGAAGTTATTTTAAAAAAAAGACTGAACTAAGTTTGATCTAGCTTAGAATCCATGATTTTTTCTAACTCATTCGACCGAATTGCAACTCTGCTTCTTGACAAATCCTCAGTAAAGCATCTTGTATTACAAAAC